CCTAGCCCATCGATGCTCGTGGCAGTCCATACTACGCGTTTCTTCTCTTGTTTGTGAAGAATCCGTCCCCCACACTTGGCTACCCCGAGTGGCCTTGACACCTGGCTTAGAAAGCTTAGATCAGCAACTTAATCCACTATAGAGAGTAAACAAACGAGAGAACTAATCGAGTGATGTTTCTCTAGGCTATGAATCTATCCTCAGCCAAGTCGCCAATGTCTCAGAGTTCTGGTTGAGTTCGGGCCGCTCCAGCTTGGTATTGGCCAGAGTGATTCCCCAGTTGCTCGAGGCTCTTGGGTTCACTTCTTGCGCGCCTCGCTGGTCCCCAGGCCACCAACTTCGCGTCACTCTCCCTGCTGCCCACCAACCTGCTTACAAGTCAAATAACATTCTACACCCCGCTCCATATGCTACAGCACATCACATTGCACCGTATTAGTGTTAACAGGATGAATTGCAACTTCCCTCAGTGAATTGCAACTTCCCTCAGTGCAACTTCCGTATTAGCCGCTCCTCACTCCTCCTCGTTTCCTCCCGCAGGGGCTCTGCTGCAGACTCTCCACCTGGACGTGTGGGGCCCAGCCCGCGTCCAGGGACAGGGCCACGAGCGGTACTTCCTGCTGGTTGTCGACGACTACACGCGTTACACCACGGTCTTTCCCTTGCAGCGCAAGGGGGAGGTCCCTGATGTTTTGATCCCCTAGATCCGCGCTGTTCGTCTCCAGCTCCGCGAGCGGTTCCAGTCGGACTTTCCTGTCCTGCGTCTGCACTCTGACAGAGGTGGTGAGTTCTTTTCCGACCTCTTGCGAGCCTACAGTGAGGAGCATGACATCCGCCAGAAGTTCACGCTTCCGGCCTCTCCGCAACAGAATGGGGTTGCTGAGCGCCGCATTGGCTTAGTCATGGAGGTCGCTCGTACCTCCATGATCCATGCGGCTGCCCCCCATTTTCTGTGGCCGTTTGCGGTCCGGTACGCCGCGCATCAGCTCAACCTCTGGCCCCGTGTCTCCGTGCCGGAGACTTCGCCCACACTGCGTTGGGCAGGGAAGGTTGGCGATGCGACGCGTTTCCGAGTTTGGGGTGCCCGTGCCTTTGTCCGCGATACCACTGCGGACAAGCTCTCCCCTCGCGCCATTCCTTGCGTCTTCCTTGGCTTTGTCCCTGACGCGCCTGGCTGGCAGTTTTACGACCCCGCTTCGCGCCGTGTCTTTGCGTCTCAGGACGTCACCTTTGACGAGTCAGTACCCTTTTACCATCTCTTTCCCTACCGCACTGCCCCTCGCCCCCCCCCGCCGCTCTTTCTCGCTCCAGGTCCTCCCCTGGTAGACCCCCCTCCCCGCGCCAGGTCCTGCTCCTTCAGGTGTTTCTCAAGTAGACCCTCCCGTGCCTGCACCTGTGGAGGTCACTGGTGACTCAGATCCTGCTAGGGGTGGTCCTGCTCGGGGTGCTGTCTCTGGGGGTGCTGAGCCTCGGGGTGCGGAGCCTGAGTGTGAGGAGCCTGGGGGTGTGGAGGCTGGGGGTGCAGAGCCTGAGTGTGAGGAGCCAGGGGGCGCTAACCCTGGGGGTACGGAGCCTGGGGGTGCTGAGCCTGAGCGTGAGGAGCTTGGAGGTGCTGCGCTTGAGCGTGAGGAGGCTGGAGGTACTACGCCTGGGGGTGCTGCGTCTAGGGGTGCTGCGCCTGAGCGTGAGGAGCCTGGGGGTGCTGAGTCTGGGGGTGCGGCGCCTGAGGGTACTGAGACTGCTGGTGCGTGGTCTCCTTGGAGAGGCCGCCTTCGTCCGCGTGCGCCTCTCTCCCCTCAGCAGCTGCACAAGTGGTACGCTAGCTGTCAGGGTCGCGCTGCTGGAGCTCGGGGCTTTGCAGCTGGGAGTGGTGCTGGTACTTAATCTACAGGAGGTGGTGGAGTCGCTGGTTCCGGAGGTGCACGTACAGGAGGTACTGGAGCTGCTGGGGCTGGCGGTACTGAGTCTGGGGGTGCCGCTGCTGGAGACGCTGAGGCTAGAGCCCCTAGGGCTGGAGGTGCCGGTTATGGGGGTGCGGCTGCTAGTGACGCTGGTACGGGAGGTGCTGGCGCTGGAGGTTCTAGAGCTGTTGGTGCCGCTGGTACTGGAGGTGCTGGCGCTGGAGGTTCTGGGGCTGCCGGTGACAATGGTACTGGAGGTGCTGGTGCTGGGGGTTCTGGAGCTGCTGTTGACGCTGGTACTGGTAGTGCTAAGGCTCGTGGAGCTAAAGCTGGAGGTTCTGGAGCTGCTGGAGGTGCTGGAGCTGCCGGTGGTGCTGGAGCTGCTGGTGCTGGTGGCGCTGCGCAACCACGACTGTTCTTTGCTCCGCCGTCTCTGTCGTCTCTACCACCGCCCGACTCCGTGCTTCGCCAGGTTCTTAGCCTCCCGTCGTCTACTAGTCTTCCGTTATAGCCTGGCTCACCACTGCCTGCTCCCTCTCCTTATACTGAGCAGCCAGGAGGTCTTGCTGAGCGTCATGAGCCTGGGTCGCGTCCTGTCTCGCCTGTTCGCACTGTCCGCACTGGTCGTACTAGTAGTCGTGTTCCTCATCCGCGTCCGCCGGCTGTCCCCAGCACACACCTCATGGCTCTGCGTCCTTTCTCTACTCCGCAGCGTGTTCCTCTGCCGTCTCCTCATGCGTCTTCTCTTCCTGTCGTTGCTGACCCTGAGTCTGACCGATTTCGTGCTGAGCACCCTACTGTCACGCGTCTACTAGCCACTATTGTCAGTGACCCGTCGTTTGAGTCTGTTGCTGCGTCTGCCTTCGTCGCTAAGCTTGTTGACTTTTCTGCTGCCTGTCGTCTAGACTACGCCGCTAGTTTTGTTGCTAAGTCTGAGTCTGTCTCTCCTCCGTCCGTCGGGGGTGAGTGTGCTCTTGGCACGGACGTCCTTGAGGACAGGCAGGAGGACCTTGAGTGTCTTGCAGCTGCTGCGCCTCATCTCGTGGCCATGCTGCTTGCCCGTGAGGGAGACCCAGATGCTCCAGACATCCCGACCCCGCGCTCTTACGCTGAGGCAATCGCGGGTGAGTACTCCTCTCAGTGGCAGACAGCCATGGACGTAGAGATGGCATCCTAGAAGTCCACAGGCACCTACATCGATGAGGTTCCCCCTCCTAGGGCGGACATCGCCAATGGCATGTGGATTTTCAGGGTGAAGCGGCCGCCGGGTTCTCCGCCTGTCTTCAAGGCTCGTTACGTTGCTCGAGGCTTCAGTCAGCGGGAGGGATTTGACTTCTTCCAGACCTTCTCCCCCACCCCAAAGATGACCACTTTTTGGGTGCTGCTGCACGTTGTCGCTCAGCGTGACTACGAGCTTCACTCTCTTGACTTCAGCACAACCTTCCTACAGGGCAGCCTGCACGAGGAGATCTGGCTGCGCCGCCCTCGTGGCTTCACTGGGTCGTTCCCTCCTGGTACCCAGTGGAGCCTCCGGCGGCCAGTCTACGGTCTCTGCCAGGCGCCGCGTGAGTGGCACGACACACTGAGAACAACACTTGCGGCTCTTGGGTTTGCTCCGTCGACTGCTGACCCGTCGCTGTTTCTGCGCACCGACACTTTGCTGCCGCCGTTCTAGATCCTTGTGTACGTCGACGACTTGGTCTTTGCCACTGCTGACACTGAGGCTCTCACCCTGGTGGAGTCGGAGCTGCAGAAGAGACACACGTGCACAGACCTGGGTGAGCTGCGCAGCTATCTTGGCTTGCAGATCACCCGGGACAGAGCACGCCGCACCATCACACTAACTCAGTCACACATGGTGCAGCAGGTCCTTCAGCACTTCGGCTTCACCCGGTCCTCAGCATAGGCCACTCCTCTGGCTACAGGTCACTCGCTCTCAGCTCCACCTTCGGACGAGTCCGTAGAGCCGGGTGGTCCTTACCCAGAGCTAGTTGGTTGCCTCATGTACTTGATGACTTGCACTCGTCCTGACCTCGCGTACCCTCTTGGCCTTCTGGCTCGCTACGTGGCTCCTGGTCGACACCGAAAGGTGCACATGGATGCCGCTAAGAGGGTACTACGCTACTTGTGCAGTACATCGGGCATGGGGCTCGTGCTTGGAGGACGGGGCGACGTTGTCCTCAGTGGTCACTCAGACGCTTCTTGGGTTGACGACCTGGCTACGCAACGGTCCTCACAAGGTTACACCTTCTGTCTTGGCTCTGGCTCTATTTCTTGGCGGTCTACACGCCTGTCTTCTGTTCTCGGCTCCAGTTGTGAGGCTGAGATCTACGCCACAGCCATGGCTGCACAGGAGTTACACTGGCTCACCTACCTGCTGACCGACCTTGGAGAGCGGCCTCGTTCTCCTCCAGTTCTGTTCGTCGACAACAAGGCTGCCATTGCCTTGTGTGAGGAGCACAGACTGGAGCACAGAACGAAGCACATCGCCCTGCGTTACTTCCCTGCTCGAGAGTTGCAGCAGCGTGGTCAGCTTCGTCTTGCTTACGTGGCCACTCGGGCCAACACTGCTAATTTATTCACCAAAGCACTTCCGTCTGGTGATCATCAGCGTTTCTGCACTTAGTTAGGCCTTGTGCCCACGTTTCCTCACTTGCTGTAGACTTTGTTTGTACTGTGATCTATATATATACCTGCATGCTTGCTCTGCTAGGTAGAGATCACTGTGTTGTTGTTGTTGCATATGTACCTCTGCATGTGAACTGGCCTTGTGGCCCTTTGCTTGTGCTCAGTGTGTGTGGTGACGTTATGATCCACCCTGAGCTTGCTTTGCTTCTTTTGACTGGTCTTGTGACCCCTTGCTCTCCCCCACTTTGCCTATGGGTGTGTGTTAAATTATATGTATGATATATATGTTTATGCTGTAGTGGGGTAGCCAATATGGGGTATAGCCCCTTTTAGGGTTTCATACTTGTACCCAACACTTTTCCTAGTTCATTCATTCCTGCCTAGACTTTTGACAGCCTTTTCCCCTGGTTCGCCGAGCAACGCCACCGCCACTCGCTCATCTCCCTTCAGGTCCCGCCATGGGTCTATCCGTTACTTTGTTGTACCCTTCCTACGTGCCCTCCTCGTCAGCTCCGTGCGGTACACCTGGGCATGCTGCACAAACTCCCGAATTGCCCCTCTTGCTACCTTCTTCCGCTGAAAAGCCTCCCCCCGCCAGACCATATTGCACCTCGCCAGCCAGATGTGGCAAAACGTTGTCGCCACCAGTGTTGCTGCGGGGAAACCTGACCGCGTGTTCCCCTGCTCAAAGAGCAGAGCCCCCAGCAAGTCCAGATTGCTGGAGGGGTCCAGCATCCGCAACGACCGCAGCAGCGCACCGATCACCGGCAGGACGAGAGGACAACTGAACATGCAGTGTTCCAGCGTTTCAGGCTCCCCGCAATGTGAACACCTCGCCCTCTCCCCCTGGAACTTCAGTCTGCCACCCACTTGTAGGTTCAGGCAATGCACTCTCAACAGCACATCCCTTGCCCTGTTGGGGATCACCACCGAATCCCTCCTGCTTTCCACCTTCCTCCAGTCTATCTTTTTCCCCCATCTTTCCTCCCACTCGCTCCTTTTCCTCGAGGCCGTAGTAGGCCCTGCCATCACACGTTGAATCGCCTTAGTCCTCGCCGGTGCTCCGTCATCTTCGAACAGCTTGGACATCTTCAGCCTTTCTGCCGGGGCGCCCACCGCTCCTAGTACTCTGCCACCTCTAGTAGCTACTAGTTCCACGTGCTCTGGCCTGAACACCGCCTTGACTGGTTCGGCCCAATCCTCCATCTTAGCCTCCTTTTTCAGCTCCACACTTGACACCGTCACTTTGTCCTCTTTAACTCCTGTAACCTTCCAATAGAGATACTCCTGCGTCCGCGGTAAGAACGTCCTCACGACGTCCGTCGCTTCTACCAGCTTTTCCGCCGTCTTCCTCGCGGTTGCCAATTCCTTCCATTCTTTCAATGTTGCCGCGTATGCCATCAGTGCCCATCTCGCCACTGCCTCACCTCCTAACTCCTCTCTCAACATCTCCTTGCTTTTCACCTTGCGTTCCGCCCCCAGTTCCCCTGATACCAAGTCCCCAAGCTTCGCCTTCCTTAGCTCCTCTGTCCCCTGTTGATTCCCGTACGTGCTCTTTCCTCTGAACACAATCCTGCGGTTAAAGCAGAGACGCTCCTGCTCCACCTCCCAACCGCTCGTCGGCTCCGGCAGTGTCGCATACGGGGAGTCCCAGAACGCGTCCACCGCCGCTTTCCACCTCTGGGTGCCCCCCGGCCAATGCTTCCCCGCCGACGGGTCCGCGTATAGTGTTGCCTCCCCTTGTGGCAGCGCAGCCGCCTTCTCCGCTAACCATCTCTTTGTTGCGTTCTTTTCCGCTAGCATCTTCCCCACCATTCTGGCCGCCATGCCATCGATTCGCACCTTAGGGTCCACGAGCCCAAAACCCCCTTCCTTCCGCGGGAGCCGAGCAAGCTCCCCGCTCCACAACACGAATGCTTTCTCCGCCGTGGCTTCCCCACTTGAAACAACGTTATCGCACGTCTTTTGAATCCTTTTCCACAGTTCCTCCGGCGGAGGGCACACCTGCGCTTGGAAGATGAAGATGGGCATTATATACGCGTTGATCACCGTCACTCTTGCCGTTGTGAGAAGATGGTGACTCTCCCACTTAACCAATTCCTCTTTCCCCCGCTCCCAATCCTTCTTCCAGGATGGTCCCGCATCTCCGTCTGGCGTGATCCAGATGCCCAGTAGCCGTTCTGGTATGCCCGCTTTCGCCCATTTAAAAGGTACCCCCTCCGCCGACTGCTTCCCTTTGTTCCTTCCGATCGGCATGACCACCGACTTGTCGTTGTTTGTTCGCAGGCTTGACAAACTGCCGAACTGCTCCAGAGCTTCCGCTGCCGACCTCAGTTGCTCCTCTCCTTTCAGTATGAGCGTTGTGTCGTCTGCATACCTTACATATACCAACTCCACCGTCCCTTCCTTCTCCTTCACCCCCAGCCCTCTCTTCCTAATCTTCAGGCACAACGGCTCGATCGCGCAGAGGAAGAGATATGGCGCGAGCGGGCAACCTTGCTTCACTCCCCTCTTCATCTCCACCCTCTCTCCGACCCAGTCGCTGATTACCTCTGACGTCCCTGAGCCGCGGTGCAGCCCCTCCGTCCATCTCACGAATTCATCCGGTATCCCAAGCTTCCTCATCATCTTGAACACGTACTGTCAGAATCCCAGCCACTAGACCACTGGGATAAAAGGGCTTGTTTCAGTAGCGGGTCAGTGTGCCCATAACCCCCCAGGCAAACGCGCCTGTAACCCTCTCCAGGATCAATCGAGCATCCACAGTGCAGATCTACAGACACCCCCCCACAATGGGAGGCCCAGGACTAAGCACAGCGGCAACGTCCTACATGTGCATACACCGGGAATCGAACCCGAGACCGCTCTGATACCATGTCAGAATCCCAGCCACTAGACCACTGGGATAAAAAGGCTTGTTTCAGTAGCGGGTCAGTGCGCCCATAACCCCCCAGGCGAACGCGCCTGTAACCCTCTCCAGGATCAATCGGGCATCCACAGTGCAGATTTACTGACACCCCCCCACAATGGGAGGCCCAGGACTAAGCACAGCGTGCATACACCGGGAATCGAACCCGAGACCGCTCTGATACCATGTCAAAATCCCAGCCACTAGACCACTGGGATAAAAGGGCTTGTTTCAGTAGCGGGTCAGTGCGCCCATAACCCCCCAGGCGAACGCGCCTGTAACCCTCTCCAGGATCAATCGGGCATCCACAGTGCAGATCTAGTAACAGGTACGTTCTCGCCACGGTATCGTATGCTTTCTGAAAATCCACCATTAGAAGAAACCAGTCTTCTCCCCCGTTGTCCGCCGCCTCCACCGCATTTGCGACCACCGACACTGCATCCGCCAAGCTCCTTCTTGGAATGAAGCCATGCTGGTCCTCCGATATCACCAGGTGAAGTTCTCTTTTGAGTCTGTTCGCGAGCACCTTCGCCAGCACCTTGCACATCGTGCTGAGGAGCGTGATGGGTCGATAGTTCCCTAACTGGTCCGTCGGCCCCTTCTTGTGCAGCAGGATCGTGACCGCCGTGGACAAGGACTCGTCCAAGAGGCCCGTCCGTTCAAACCTTTTTGCAAACTCTACCAGCGGCCCTCCCAGCAGGTCCCAGTGAGCCTTGAAAAGCTCTGGTGGCAACCTGTCCCGGCCCAGCGATTTGCCTCTCGGCAGCCCCGTGAGCACCTCCTTCACCTCCGCCTCTGTCCACGGGGCTCGGAGCCTCGCCGCCGCATCCCCTGGTAAGCTTGTGGCCACTTCTACCTTCCCTCCCTCCTGTCTCTCTGTTCCCATCTGCTCGCTGAAAGCGTCCCGGAAATGGTTGGAAGCCGCCCTCAGCATCTCCTGCGAGCTGTGGTAGCGCTCCCCCTTATACTACACCTCCTTGATCACCGTCTTATTTTTCCTCATCTTGACCTTGGCAGAGAGGTACGGCGACGAGATCGCTCCGTGCAGCTCCAGATCCAAACCGGCCAGCGTCTGCAGCCGTTCCCTCTCGCTCTCCTGATAGCCTTCTAGTTGCGCCTCTCTCGCCAGCAACCTCTCCTTTATGTCTGCTTCCGTGGGTCCCGCCATGACCAGGTGGTTTAGTCTTGCCACCTCTGCTTCCAAGTGTCTCCTGGTTGTCGTGACCCGCTTCCTCTCCTCCCATTCGTGTACCCGCAGGGCCGCGCTAAGCCGTGGAAGGTTGCTCTCCAGAGTCCGGCTGCGCTGCTCCTCTGGTCCCCCCATGATCCTCTGAATCACCTCTCAGACTCCCCTTTGGTTCGCCCTTGGCGCATGGAACCTCTAGATCCCCGGTCCGCTCGTGTGCGACGACTTGAACGCAAGGCTGATTCGGATAGCAAAGCCGTGATCCGACAACTTCTTCAGCACCCAAACATGACAGGCCTCCGTGAGCTGGCCCAGCAACGAGGCTGACACGAGTTCCCTGTCTATCCTGGACCTGGTGTCGGACGGCCTCGCGTGGAACGTGTACTACCTCGAAACGCATTCTTGATATCGAAAGCTGACCAGGCCTCAAGCAACCGCTGTGTGAGGATCTGGTTCAGGAAAGATAAATCTATTGAATGAATCACCTAGGTACAAGGCGAGGCTATATATAGGCTCGACACAAAGGCAGTAACCCGGGTGTTACTAGAAGGTTCCGCGGGTCGCGAAGCGTCCCGAACGGGTCCTTCCCGAATTCGGTAGAAGGCAATTCGGTGGCAACCGAAAAGCCTAGAATTCAGTGCACTCAACCTAGTTCGGTGCCTATAACTATAATAACTCTAGTAAAGGCAACAAACCTAGGATATAAAGCAAAAGCATGCAAGATAAAATAAGATAAGCTAGATAATGCGTAATAAAGTCCAGGCAAGCTAGCAAAGCCAGCATAAGCCGTCGTACTCTCACACGCTGATTCTCTTTGCCGGACCCCGTGCGTGACGACCTGTCCAGCTCCGAGTCCGCTATGATGCTGAGATCCCCTGCAAACACCAGGTGCATCCCCGCTGACTGGGCCAGAGCGAAGGGGATCAAATGCTCTACGTGGAACTTCATCCGAGTGCTTGGCTGCGCCGCGAGATACGCCGCTATCAGCCTGAAAGCGGTATCCCCCACTGTCAGATTTATATGACATAGCTACTGTAGGCTATAGTGGGGTAGCACATATGGGGTACAGCTTTCTAGGGTTTGTACTTGTACCCAACTTTCCCTTAGTCATTCTCATTCTCGTTCAGTTTCTCATGGTATCGAGCAGGTTCCCCTGTGGGAACTGTTCCTAGGGCCCACCACCTTTTTTTTCCCTGCCCGGAGCGCGCTCTACACTGCCCGAGTCGCGCTCCCCTCTAACGGCTCCGTCGCGCCGCCCTTTCAACCCGGTCGCGCCGCCTTAGCGGCCCCGTCGCGTCGTGCTTGCGGCCCCGTCGCGTCGCCCTCGTAGCCCCTTCACGTCGCGCCGCCCTAGCGGCCGCGTCGCGCCGCCCTCGCGGCCCTAATCCGCCGCCCTCGCGGCTCCGTCGCGTCGCGCCGCCCGCGCAGCCCTTTCACGCCGCCCTCGCGGCCCTTTCTAGCCGCCCTAGCGGCCCCGTCGCCTACCCCTGCGGCCCCGGCGCCGCCCTTCCCTACCTCGGCGCCGCCTCTGCTGGCCCCGTCGCCTACCCCTGCGGCCCCGGAGCTGCCCTTCCCGGCCCCGACGCCTCCTCTACTGGCCCCGACGCCGCTCCACCCGGCCCCGACGCCGCTCCACCCGGCCCCGCCGCCGCTCCACCCGGCCCCGCCGCCGCTCCACCCGGCCCCACCGCCGCTCCACCCGGCCCCGCCGCCGTCCACACGCGGCCCCGCCGTCACCACCGAGCCGCCGGCGCCGACGAGCTGCTGCCGAGCCGCCCGATCCACCCGAGCCGCCCGAGCCGCCGCGCAACCTGAGCCGCCCAAGCCGCCGGGTCGCCGAGCCGCCGAGCTGCAGTTGCTGCCGAGCCGCTGTACCGCCGAGCCGCCCGAGCCGCCCGAGCCGCAGAGTCGCCGAGCCGCAGTTGCTGCCGAGCCGCCGAGCCGCCCGAGCCTTCCGAGCCGCCGAGTTGCCGAGCCGCCGAGCCGCCGAGCCGCCCGATCCGCCCTGTCCGGTAAGAGCAGCGCCTCTGCCACTGCACAACCCTTACCCTACTGTTCGCGCTGCTAGTCTACTGCTGTCATGGCTACCCCTAGTGTCCTCGCTTTTGACGCTGAGGGTCGGGCCATTGACATTGACGTCTGGGTAGATGACCTGCAGCTTTTCCTACAGTGCGATAGGGCAGACGGTCTCTCCCTCTTTGACCTCACCTCAGGAGCCTCTCCTGCCCCTGCTGCTGATGCCGACGCCACTGTTTGCTCACAGTGGGCCACACGCGATGCTGCTGCACGTCTTGCCATGTGTCGCCACCTGCCTACCTCTGAGCGTGCGCACTTTGGCCAGTACAAGAGTGCTCAGACCTTGTACGACGTTGTAGTTGCGCGCTACTCCTCCCCTGCCACTGCTGCACTTAGCCGCCTCATGCTACCGTACCTCTTCCTTGACCTTGCTGCCTTTCCCACAAAAGCTGACCTCATTACGCACCTCCGCACTAGTGACACTCGCTACCGCGCTGCGCTTCCTGCTGAGTTCTGTGCCAAGAACCCCCCCCCCCATGTTCATCACCCTCTACTACATAGTCACCCGGCTCCCTGAATCCCTTTGCATAGTTAGGGACCACTTCCTCTCAGTTTGCCCCACCACTCTCACCGTTGACCTCCTCGAGAAGGCCCTCCTAGCAGCAGGGAAGAGCATAGTCGCTGTAGGAGCCTCTCGTGGTGACCCTCGCACCCCCATCTTTGAGGGGTGCTCCCCCTCCCCCCTTTTGCCCTCTTTTGCCTCTGCTGCTGCGGCCGACCTTGTTGGTTTCGAGTCGGTCGGCGCTGCGTCTGCCCCGAGCGGGAGATGCCGCACCGGCAAGGGCAAGGGGAGCAAGGGTGCTGGGGGGGCTGGCGGGGGTGGCGGAGGTGGCGGTGGAGGCAGTGGAGGGGGTGGGGGTGGTGGTGGGAGTGGTGGCGGGGGTGGAGGTGTCAGTGGCGGCAGTGGAGGCGGAGGCGGCGGCGGCGGTGGCAGTGGGAGCGGAGGTGGCGGAGGTGGCGGCGGTGGAGGAGGCAGCGGCGGAGGAGGTGGAGCTGGTCGGGGTGGCGCTGCGCAGAGGGTCGGCTCCGGTGGTGGTCAGCGCCACCACCAGCAGCAGCACCAGCAGCAGCAGCAGCAGCAGCAGCAGCAGCAGCAGCAGCAGCAGCGCACTCGTGACATCCCCCCCCCCTCAGCAGCTCCGTGAGTGGTACACTGCACGCAAGCGGGGTGGGGGTACTGGTCCGTGCACCTACGTCCTACGCACCAGCGACCGCGCGGGTGAGCAGTGCGGGGGTGCGCACTCCACCCAGCGCTGCTTTGGCCGCCTGACGGACGCTTGGCGTCACCAATTCCCTGAAGCCACTGAGATCCCTCGCTGGGGCGAGCTGTCTAGGGCGGGAGTAGCTGTCTTTGACCTTGACTTTGATGCTATTCTTGCTGCCATGTATGTTGTGACTATTAGTGATGAGGGTGACTATTACCGGTGTTTTCCGCCCGACCCGGGCATTGAGACTGCTGCTCTAGGTACTGGTGAGGCTGCTGCTCTAGGTGCTAGCGAGGCTGCTGCTCTAGGTGCTCGTGCGTCTGCTCCGTCAGGTGCTGGTGAGTCTGCTCTCTCAGTAACTGCGTCGGCTTCGGCCTCCCACACCTTCACCCTTGACTCGGGGGCTTCTCGCTCCTTCTTTCGAGACCGCACCACACTCACGCCGCTTGGCCGGCCAGTTGCAGTCTCTCTGGCAGACCCCTCTGGGGGTCCTGTCCTTGCTCACTTCTCCACTATCCTCCCGTGTTCGGCGGCCCCCTCTGGCACCCTGTCTAGTCTTTACCTCCCCTCGTTCTCTACAAACTTGGTGAGTGGTGCTGACCTACAGGATGCGGGGGTTCACCAGTTCACTCCTGCAAGTCAGCGGGTGACCCACTGCACGGACGCTCGCACAGGCCGACACCTGGCCACGTTTACACGTCGGCCAGGGTCGAGCCTGTACACACTGACCACTGCGTCTCCTCCAGTCACTGCGTCTGGTCAGGTAGCTGCGTCGGGTCAGGTGTTTGCTGCAGCGTCTAGGTCTGGTCCTGAGTCTGCCCCCTGCTCGTGTCGCCTCCTGTCTCACGAGACTCTCCTCTGGCACCACCGCCTTGGTCACCCCTCCCTGCTTCGTCTCCGAGGCATGGCCTCCCGTGTCCTTGTCTCTAGTCTTCCCCGGTCCCTCCCTCCCCTTCCTCCGGAGCTTGGCCCTACCTGCGTCCCCTGTGTAGAGGGGCGGTAGCATGCTGCCCCTCACTCCTCCCAGTTTCCTCCGACAGAAGCCCCGCTGCAGACGCTTTACATGGACGTGTGGGGCCCGGCCCGCGTCCGTGGACAGGGTCACGAGCGCTACTTCCTGCTGGTGGTTGACGACTACTCGCGTTACACCACAGTCTTCCCCTTGCGCAGCAAGGGTGATGTCACTGAGGTGTTGGTCGACTGGATCCGCGCAGCTCGTCTCCAGCTCAGACAGAGCTTCGGCTCGGACTTTCCTGTTCTGCGTCTGCACTCTGACAGAGGCGGAGAGTTCTCCTCTGGCCTTCTGCGAGCCTACTGTTGTGCACGAGGCATCCGCCAGACCTTTACACTTCCGGACTCTCCACAGCAAAATGGGATTGCTGAGCGCCGCATTGGCATGGTCATGGACGTCGCCCATAC